TGCTCCCCACCACTTCATAAGCCCCTCCCAGGTCCCCCCTCACTCTATGGCGGTCAATATGACCCCCATAATAGCACAAGGGAGATTAAAATCTCCCACATGCCCCTACACGCTATAGCGCGAGTAGGGGCATGTCCAGGAAACAGTGAGCAGCCTGGGCGGCGGGTGGGGGCCATAGTGAGAATGGGGGGGGACCTACTGCCCCCCCCGCCCCCACCCCTGGGCGGCGGGTGGGGGCCATAATGAGAATGAGGGGGGGACCTACTGCCCCCCCATGCCCCCACCCCTGGGCGGCGGGTGGGGGCAATAATGATAATGAGGGGGGGCACCTACTGTCCACCCCCCCTCCGGCCCCCACCCCTGGCTTGAAATCCATCCAATCACAGTGCTCTGTGTCATTTTACACAGCGTGGGAAAATTCTTCTGAATTTCCCCACGCTGTGTAAAATGACAAAGAGCACTCTGATTGGCTTAAACCCACCAATAAGAGTGTTCTTAGCCTAATTGCAGGGCGGGACAAGGCTTTATAAGCCTTCCCCCGCCCTGCGGAGCTCAGTCTGCGCGGAGCCCTCCATGGGTGAAGATGGATTATTTTTTTGCGCTCAGGTTTTTTCTTTTTCGTCTGGTTTTTGTGCTTGGGATTTTTATTTTATTTTTAATTCGATGGTTATGATGGTTTTTTTATTTGGCCTTTTTGGGGCTGAAAAATGAAGCTTTGAGAAAAAAGAAGACGTCGAATGGAAGTTTAATTTTATTTTACAGGTTAGTTATTTTATTTCCCCCTCACTATTTTTTAGGGTGAGGGGGGTAGGTAGGGACTTTTTTATGGGTGGGGGTGGGTGACTAGGGGCTTGGGGACCCCTAGTCACCTTGGGGGGGGAATTGACTTGTGGGTGTCACTGTAAAAAAAAACAAAAAAAACTATTGGCCCCCACCCCTAAACGACGGGTGGGGGCCCTAAAGTAAAATAAGGGGGGAGACCTAATGTCGTTGTCGTAAAATAAGGGGGGAGACCTAAGGACACCCACCGCCCAGGGGTGGGGGCCGGGGGGGCAGTAGGTCCCCCCCACATTCTCATTATGGCCCCCACCCACCGCCCAGAGGTGGGGGCCGGGGGGGCAGTAGTTCCCCCCCTTCATTCTCACTATGGCCCACACCCGCCGCCCAGGGGTGGGGGCTGGGGGGGGCAGTAGGTCCCCCCCTCATTCTCACTATGGCCCCCACCGCCCAGGGGTGGGGGCCGCAGGGTGGGGGCAGTAGGTCCCCCCCCTCATTCTCACTATGGCACCCACCCGCCGCCCAGAGGTGGGGGCCGGGGGGGGGGAGTAGGTCCCCCGCCCTCGTTATCATTATGGCCCCCACCCGCCGCCCAAGGGTGGGTGCTGGGGGGGTGGACACTAGGCCCCCCCTCATTATCTTTATGGCCCCCACCCACCGCCTAGGGGTGGGGGCTGGTGGGGCACTAGCCCCCCCATTATCGTTATGACTCCCACCCACTGCGCAGGGGTGGGGTCCCGGGGGGACGACGACATTAGGTCTCCCCCCTTATTTTACTTTAGGGCCCCCACCCGTCGTTTAGGAGTGGGGGCCAATAGTTTTTTTTTTTTTACAGTGAGCAGCCTGTGGCTCATTCTCACTATGGCCCCCACCCGCCACCCAGGGGTGGGGGCCGCGGGGTGGGGGCCGAGGGGGGGCAGTAGGTCCCCCACCTCATTATCTTTATGGCCCCACCCACCGCCTAGGTGTGGGGGCCGGAGTAGCCCCCCCATTATCGTTATGACCCCCACCCACCGCCCAGGGGTGGGGGCCGGGGGGACGACGACATTAGGTCTTTCCCCTTATTTTACTTTAGGGCCCCCACCCGTCACTAAGGGGTGGGGGCCAATAGTTTTTTTTTTTTTTTTACAGTGAGCAGCCACAGGCTGCTCACTGTTTACCAGACATGCCCCTACTCACGCTATAGCGAGTAGGGGCATATTATTTACTAATACTAAGTAATTTTTACTTGGTATTAGTAAATTGGTCTTTCAGCCTTTTAGTAGATAGCTCCCTAATACCGTGGGAATTAGGGAGTTATCTACTAAGCGGCTGCAAGGTGCAGCCACAGCATGAATAGGATCGGAGTTTCATTCATTCGAATGAAATTGCGATCCGAATTGCGTTCTAAAAGAAACGAACATACTGTTCTCATTCAGTTAGAACGCAATTCGGCAGTTTAGTGTAAAATGACAGGAAGCATCGCGGGAACACTGAGGAAAGGTGAGAATCATGGGAAAATTGCTCTGACCAGCGGAAATGAAGCACACTTTGCTCCTCCGCTGGTCAGAGCTGGTCAAGCGGAGGAATCCTCCATAAGGCAAAGAGTCCCTACTTTGTCTTATGATTTTAAAGAAAACTAAAGAAGACAGGAAGAAAAGAATAACAGATCCTGAGAGAGGGGGAGAAGAGGAAGAGATTGAGGAAAGGTAAGTTCGGCATGACAGTGCTGCTTTAATAACCTTTCAAATATTTTCCCAGCCACAGAAGTTAAGCTCACAGGTCTATAATTTCCAGGCAAGGATTTTGAACCCTTTTTGAATATAGGAACCACATCTGCCTTCCTCCAATCCTCCGGAACACTTCCTGAAAGAAAAGAATCTTGAAAGATTAAAAACAGAGGTTCACTTATTTCTGCACTTAGTTCCTTAAGTACACGTGGATGGATACCGTCAGGCCCTGGAGCTTTGTTTATATTAACTTTCTTTAGTTGCTGCAGCACCTTGTCTTGAGTTAACCAATTACAATTATTCTGCAAGTTTTTAGTAGCAATCATTTGCACATCTATTGCCATGGGTTCTTCCTTAATATATACGGAGGAGAAATAGTTATTTAAAATTCCTGCCTTTTCCTGGTCTTCATTAACTAACACCCCCGTTTCAGTTTTTAGTGTACCTACACTTTCATTTTTTTTTTTTTTAGAATTTATGTACTTAAAAAATGCTTTGGGGTTGGTTTTGCTCTCTTTAGCTATCATTTTTTCATTTTGAAGTTTAGCAAATCTAATTGCCTTTTTGCACGCATTATTTGCTTCCTTATATCTTTTATAAGATGCATCTGATTTATACGATTTAAATGCTTTAAATGCCCTTTTCTTATTTTTAATCTCTTGTTTTACTTCTCTACTAAGCCGCATTGGTTTTAATTTGTTTCTTTTATATTTATTTCCCAATGGTACATACTGAGAAATGTACCTTTCTAATATTTAATAATAAGATGATCCATTTATCCTCAGTGTTCTTTTCACTAAAGAGTTTATGTCAGTCAATATATTGTAAAGCTGCCCTTGACTTATTGAAATTGGCCTTTTTAAAATTATATGCTTTAGTATACCCCATATGCTTTTGTTTTTTTGAGTTTATTTCAAAGGACACTATATTGTGATCACTATTTTATAGTTCAAAAGATCAACGTTGTTTGTTAAAACCAGGCCCAGACAAGCGTCCATTCTAGTTGGTGCTTGTACAAGTTGTGACATGAAGGTCTCATTTAACAAGTTTAAAAACCTTATTCCCTTTGCTGAGCTACTAGTTCCTCTGTCCCAATTTATGTCCGGGTAATTAAAATCTCCAATAATTAAAGTGTTACCCAGATTTGCAGCTTTCTCATTTTGATCAAACAGCCGTTGTTCCTCGTCAATATTAACATTAGGTGGTTTATAACATATCCCAACCAATAGTTGGTTTCCCTTCTTTTCCCCCAAGCAGATATTTACCCATAAAGCTTCCACATTTTCCTCATCGCATTCCGCTTGCTTAAGATTTGGCTTTAAATCATGGTTGACATACAAACATACCCCACCACCCTTCTTGTTTTTCCTATCCTTCCTAAATAACATGTACCCATTTAAGTTAACTGCCCAGTCATGTGTCTCATCCCACCATGTTTCAGTTATGCCTATTATATCATATTGTGTGATGTCATATTAGTGATGTCTCACGTGTAAAACAATACCCCCTATGTTCAGGTTTTATGGTGTTTTGGGACTTTACAGGGTCAAATATAGCATGTTTTTTCAGTTTATACACATTGCAATTTGCCAGATTGGTTATGCTGCCTTTGAGACCATATGGTAGCCCAGGAATAAAAATTACCCCCATGATGGCGTACCATTGACAAAAGGAAACATCTCAAGGTATTACAAATAGCCACTTAGTTACAAACAATGGCATAATTTAGTGTTCATATTTGTTTGTGTGTGAAAAATGCAAAAAACTAAATTGAATGCTAATTTTGGCCAGTGTTTGTAACTAAGTGGCTACTAAAAAAGACTGGACATACCCCATTTGCAATACCTTGGGTTGTCTACTTTTGCAAATTGTATGCCATCATGGGGGTAATTCTCATTCCTGGGATACCATACGTTCTCAAAAGCAACATAACCAATCGGGCAAATTTCAATGTGAAATAAAGAAAACTCAAGCCTTATATTTGACTCAGTAACATGGGGGGGTACTGTTATACTCGGGAGACTTCGCTGTATACAAATGTGTGTATTTTATTACACATATTAGTGTTTCAAAATAGTAAAATGTATCACAACAATTATATCATCAGTGGAAGTACCGTTTGTGTGTGAAAAATGCAAAAAAAACATAATTTTTACTGACGATATCATCATTGTGATATGTTTTACTGTTTTTAAATGCTAATATTTGTGTTCAGTGAAGTCTCCTGAGTAAAACAGTACCCCCCATGTACAGGTTTTATGGTGTCCTAGAAAGTTACAGGGTTAAATATAGGGCTTGCGAGCTGAATACTTTGGACTTTCAGCCTGGGTTGTAAGGCAGGTCCCTCAAATTGTAATTAATAAAATGACTTGATTATGTAAAAATATTATATAAATATATTTGTAGAATTTAAATATATATGTATATATATTTGTATATATATATATATATATATATATATATAATTTTTTAAAATTATTTTTATTTATGATTTTAGCATGATATAATAAAATAGTGCAGCCATCTACTTTTTATAAGTCTATCTATGTATCTATCTATCTATCTATCTATCTATATATAGCTATATATATATATATATATATATATATAGAGAGAGAGAGAGAGAGAGATAGACTTATAAAAAGTAGATGGCTGCACTATTTTATTATATCATGCTAAAATCAGGATCAATGTTTCGGTCCTCTCCACGGACATTCATTAGGATCATAAATGCATACATGTAAACAGTGTGTTTATATATGGTGTACAAAATTGTAAGATTGACTTACCCCAGGTGCTGTGAATTGTAAGCCAGCGTCCTGCTCTACCCAGTGCGCATGCTTAACAAAGCTCCGCCCCCAGTGGTGACGTCATTGGGGCAGAGCTTTGTCACACATGCGCACTGGGTTCGGCAGGGCGCCGGCTTCCAATTCACAGCACCTGGGGTAAGTCAATCTTAAAATTTTCATATCAAATTCAAATTATATTTCATATTGGTTTACAATAGACTTTGAGACTCATTTTGTTCTGAACAACAATTCGTCTGAATTTGGCCGATTTGCTGATTGTATGAATTCCTGAACTCTGACCCTAAATGCAGCCAAATCACACATCAAATGAAATGCGCAATGGCCAAGCATGTTTGTTTTGATTTATGATTCTAAATTCCACCTGTGGTGCCAAAATAACCTAGCTAATTGATGGTAAAAATGATTGATGGCTAAGGTGCAGTCGCTAAATGTTCAAATTATTCACAGATCAAGTGAGAAATGAACCAAAGAGGGAAAAAAGGATGAATAAATTGTAATATATATATTTTATAAACATATACATATAGATTTTGTATACTGCCCTTTGCTCTTCCAATTTGTCCCTCTTTCGGTTACTTTATCTCACTTGATCTGTAAACCAAATGGCAGGAAAATAAGCCTATCAGTGTATTGTGAAATATACGATACTATTTATATTATGCATATGTGTTGCAGAACACTGATTGGACATTTTCACAACCTTTTGGTTCGTTTGATTCATTTCTGGAGCAAAACCATCATATGGCTGAAATTCATCAGCCTTTAATTTTTTTAAATTAATTTTTTTCAAATTAGGGGTTTTGGTGAAAATAAATTATTTTGCCATGCACAAGTATCGTTTACAAGCTTACACATCCAACTTGTCTACCATTTGAACAGTGTTTTATAAGTATTCGTTGGCATTCTATAAAGTAAAATATATAATAATAATTATAGCTGCTGATATATATATATATATCATGTCAAGAGGTTAACTTTTTTGAATAAACATGATAATGGGAACGATATGCAGTGTGAGAAACTTTGACAGTGATATAATTGGCGGTGCCAGACAAGGTTTCATTTATGGCACTTTTCAGGATACACAGGGTTGCAGTCTAGATTAGTCTCCTGATCAATACCCCTGCATATTTACATATAATGTAGTTAAGTCAGTTCATGCCTAGCTTATATGATGTGCAATGTTTGTGCCGTAACACTACTGCAATAAAAATATATATAAATATATAAGTTAAAAAAAATGTTTATTGAGAACCTTTTGTAAAACTCTCCCTCCAGTATTTTAATGGAATTCCAGAAGTTGATACCCGATATAATAGCTAGAATTGAAATACTTTTAATTGGATCCTTTCGCACTTTTTACTTATATAAACCAAAGGACTAAGATGTAATATTATGTTACAGAAATGGTTGGTCTGAAACAATGTCTTTTTTGACATTTAAGGAGAAGCGACACAGTAGCTAGAGTTAACAAAACTAGTGAGAAAACAAAACAAACAATGATTAGCAGTGTGGGCAAAAACACAGAGTTAAACTGAGAAGTCAAAGGTAAATCGCCAGACTTGAAAAATCTGACAGAAAGGTCACTAACACTAAAATAACTTATATTTACAACATGCTGGCATGTAGAAAGCTATCTGTGCGCCATTTGTTCATCCTTGAAGTGGATAAACTACAACAGCAGCAGAATGAGTTCCATGCCTTTTGTCTAAAAACAAGACGGCGAGACAACAGTGGGCACATGATGAAAATAAATTTTTGTTCTGATGCAGGATCAAGAATTTTCATCTACATCATGCAGATGGCACGGTGAGAGTTTTGCATAAACTGTTTAAAATGGTTAGAATTCTCCTGCACAGTGTCAATGGTAATAACTTCTAAATGATGGTGTAATAATATGGATATGTTGGGCACATTCATATTCAAAACTCAAATTCATATCAAATCAAAGTGAGTGCTATTAATAATAATTTATAAGTATTAATAGTAATTTGGCTAGTAATAGTTATTTTTTTGTTGGAAGTCAGAAATGAATGGATTATGGTTTTAAAAAGCTGCGAGACAGCATTGTGCCTGGCACTGATGTATATAGTCCTGCTGTGTTAGTAAACAGTGTATTATATGATTTTGTAACTAAAAACAGTTAGAGAAAGTGCCTTAAAAGCTGGAGACCCAGGCCTCTTTTTTGTGTTATTTCTTAATATTAATGCATCTGTCAGATGCAGATGTTAGTTTACACAAAGGCTATGGTGAGCAAAAAATATGCAATTACTGTAGACAGCAGAATAATAGTTTGAAGGAATTGTTTTTAGAAATGTCAGGTGACAATTTTGTCAGGGTTACTCACTAAAAATTATGTCTGATTGGACAAAGTACAGTGAAAAATAACTGAATAAAAATCTATAAATCCCAGTGCAACTCGTGGAAATAAATAGAAAACAGATTTGCAAAAAAAAAAGAAAGAAAGAAAGAAAAATTCAAAAACAGGATGCAATAAAAGTAATCCTTTCCCACTACAAATTGCAGGCAAATCTTTATAAAGGCTTTCCCACGCTATGTCATTGCTTTTGCTATGTCATTGCTAATACATTGTGTTGGAAAATTTCCCATGCTAATGTCAGTAAGAGCTCTCTGATTGGTTGGCTCATTAACTAGCCAATCAGGGCGCTCTGACAGCCAAGTCTTGAACAGAGTTGGTGCAAGGATTCTTCTCTACACAGGTGAAGCATTTTGCCATTCCCAACATTTGTTTATACCTCTGTGTCTATTGCAATTCCATTAAAATACTGGAGGAAAGGAAACCAAGAGGGAGTTTGGGAAAGGTTCTCAATAAACATTTTGTTAAAATTATATATTTTTATTGCCGTAGTGTTACAACACAAACATTGCACATCATATAAGCTAGGCATGAACGGACTTAACTACATTATATATAAATATGCAGGGGTATTGATAAGGAGACTAATCTAGACTGCAACCCTGTGTGTCCTGAAGAGCCTCATATATGATTAAAAGGTACCCTTTTATTATCACTCACCCTTTTAAAAAAACAACATTTTATCATATGTTGTGTGGCAGTGTGTATGAATATGGGCATCATTTTATGTAGTATTGAAATATGTGTGCATGAAGTTTAAGTGTGTTGTATAACGCAGACAAAAGGCTGAAGAAAGATCTGCAAGAGGGCTCACACACTCTACATTAATAATGGTGGCATTGGACATGTATCTCTAGTGTCAGCTTTTTGACTGGCATCAGAGAGAAAAGTGAAAGTAAATGAAAATGGATTATTTGAGATATTATGAGGTTTACTCTGATATTATGAGTTTTTTCTTGAGGATCCATTGTGAGCCACGTCTGTTTGAAATGGCTTCCATACTCCAACCCACTTAATATACTAGTTGATAACTGTATCAGACTATATATATATATATATATATACACACACACACACACACAAGGATTTGCCAACTATGAACAAAACCAAAAAGACAAACATATAGAAATGTAACCAATAAATAGAAACATGTTAAGATTCAAACAATAAATGACAACACAACAAAGTTAAATTCATTTACAAGCGATTAGTAGTCTATTCTATATGGCCTTAAAAGCTTTCTTTTTCTTCCAAAGCTTTGATAAATTCTACTGATAAAAAAAAGGTCTGTCTCCAGCAATGCAAAAAAAATCTCTGAAAATGGCATTTTAATAACCTTCTTCCTACATCATCAGTCAAAACCTGTGGGGGGATGAGTAATTGTTGCTAAATTCGAAATTGCAGCTCATGTTACATTCCACAGGTTTAGTAAAGTAGTAGCCAGTTCCAGCTGCTAGTTAATGACTAGATTGTTTTTTGTTGTTGTTAAACAAGTTTTACGTTTTCTTTGAAGGATGGTTATTTGGGGAAGACAGAATCTGTAAAATAGACAAATAGGTTAATGGAGGGTGTAAGCTCATTGAAAAAAAAAAACCATAAGGTTAGATCTTATCGCTTTATGGTGGTGTTATGTATATATTTCTGTAGAGTATCTTGCATTACAATATGGATTGACTTGTTGGTTTTGTCATGTCAAGACCTGGTAGCAACATTGCAAAGTATGGATGGTTTACAAAAAATAATGTATGTGTTCAGATGGCAAAGAGCTGTTGATATACTCTTTTGAGGTGAGCATGAGTGTGTGCACTGAAAACAATCGCTGGAATGCATGGATCTAAAAAAGTGTAACTGTAATACATTGCAAATGGGATGAGCTATTAGATAGCGACTAGACAGGGAATAGTTTGCCTACATCCCACCATCTCTGTGAAATAACCTTTGGGTTTTGGAACTTGGAAAAGAATTCTATGTAAAACAAAATTATTGTAAGAATAAACTTTATTTATGTAGCTTTTGATCACCCAAACATGAATCAAAACACCGCAAAATTTTAAAACAATTAAAAGAAGGTAAAAGAAAATAAATGTAAAAAAAATCTAGAAGACAAAATAAAAAATACGCAACAATAAGGACAATTTTTAAACCATAATCCATTCATTTCTGACTTCCAACAAAAAAATAACTTACTAGCAAAATTACTATTAATACTTAGAAATTATTATTAATAGCACTCACTTTGATTTGAAATGAATTTTACAGGCAATGAATTTTTCTTAATTTTTCTTAATTATTAGGATAGAGCAAGTTCTTCATTTTATAGCTCTAGATTACTGTTGGGTGCCACATGTTCCTATATTCCACAATATGCTACAGAGAACAATTATCCTAATTAGCAGTTATATAGCATTAATGTTTTCTGCAGCTATTACAATAATTACAATTCTACTATGACATCCAGATTGATATATTATGCAATGTTACAGGAACACTCTCTTCTGTATTTTTGCTTTAATACCTGAAGGGTATAGCATTGCTTTTTCTGCCCTCTAAACTGAAATACTAAATATTTAATTGTACATATTTCCTAGGACAAATTGACATTCCCCTGTCTTTATGTATGGGGATTCTTCAGTTACATTTGAACATATTTTCCTAGTATGATAGAAGCCTTCTCACCTTTCAGCTTAAATGACATTGCAGTTGGGAGTTACACATCTGTCTGTAAGTTGTTTTTTTGCAAGTTAACATTTTTTTTTTTTACTATCATAACTAAGCAGATGTTTTTACAATTTCACGAGTTGCACAGTACAAAACAGATAAGCCACTTGGACTATTGAAATAACAGCATCAAAATGTTTCCAAATGAGACATTTGCCCTGCAGATAAAGAAATGCCACTATTGAATATTTAAAAAAAACATTCAAATTCATTATTTCATATTTGGCTCTGTGAATTCCTCATTGACTTTTTGAGGCCAAATGCTTAACACAAAATTTGCACTTGTTAACTAAAACCTAAAGGGGCAGTCTGAGCAATATAACAAGGGACACTTTAGTTGACTGTGGTGGTTATGATGCCAGGAGTCCACCCACCATTTCTTAATGGATTAACATTTACCTGGGTCTACTGAGTACCCTCGGTTTAACCAGTCTTGAAACATATTGCTGAAGTGTAAGTTCATACTTCTGCATTAGGTATATCAGTTCCATGCATGTTTGGACAAGATTAGTTGTTGGAAAGTGTCAGCCAAGTTATTCAGGCTGTAGTGGTTATAGTGCTTACAGTGCCCCTTTAATATACACATTTGGATGATGTTAGTTCTGTACAGAGACTGTCTGCCATCATAGCAATTGTGACAGATAAAACACATAGAGGTACACCAGATAGAAGGCAACTTTTCTAAGAGCCTCAGTATTGGATAAAGACGCCCTTGATAGATTTTCTATATTGTGCATTTTGGGTTTACTGTCTGTAAACTGTCTGGTTGATTATTTGGCTTGTCAGTGCCCCTAACTTTCAGATTTCCTTCAGAATACACAATTCCAGTCCTAGAGACTTCAACATTGTTATTTTTTGTTTACATAATCACTTGGTGTTAAAGAATTTCCTATACGACAGGTTCCTAATCCAGTCCAGAAGACATTTTCTCCGCTGGAGTTCATTGCGGTCTAGGTTTGGAAAAACTGTTATATATTCTGCATGGGATATTGTAACTTTTTCCATCTCTGTTTCTCTGTTATATGGTGTCCTGCAGGCTTGAAGCCTCGGAGAACATTGCAAATCCTGCAAAGACACCATGAGTTAATTCATTTCTCCAGAGCACCACAGCGGTGCAGCAATCCAACATAACTGAATTTATTACTGGTTTTGTACAGCAGTTCTCTCCAAATCCTAGCAAGTAGTACACAATGAATGCTTTCCTGATAGCAGTCAAATATTTTTCCATATTGTGAAATATGTCACTAGTAAATGTTCTATAACTATAGTTTATAAATTGCTGTAGCTTTTCAGAAGGCAGATATTAAGTTATTTAAAATACGAGAATTTGGTGTGTTCTAGATAAATGTACACCTTGAAGTCTGCAAGCCAGATGTGGCCCCAGGGTTTTTTTCAGTGGCCTTTACACTACACAAAAATTCCAGAGGCTTTATTGTATGACATAATTATTTTAATAAGATCCGTATCTCCTGCATATTAAACTAAATGATCCACAGCCCACCCTGTTTCTATATAAGCTATATCAATTTGGTGATTACATTACAAATTTTTGACTTTCAATGCTTTGCTCCCATGGAAAATAAGTTCCAAATATAGAAAGATTATGCTATAAAGAAAAGATACTATTTTCAGATGAAAGAAATAGCTGTTTTAAACTATACTGCACAATCAATAATGAGTTGACTTGGCGTAGACATGAGTATTATACTTGATCCATGATTAATGCAGCAGTGACTGCAATGGTGGAGACAGCATTATCTAAGGTGCTGCAATGCCTGATCCTATTTGACTGCTTCTTCCTCGAAGCGTGCCCAATGTATAGTGGACTAAGGTGATTCTGATTCCTCTGGTAAGGATTACATCAGTGAAGCGAAGCACCACTGAAAAGGTGGAGATACACGTCCTGAAAAGTCTAAGGGCAAGGTGCATGCAAAACTTGCCAAAGCTATGGTGACCTTCACTTCAGTCCACAATCTTGACCACTCCCCTGACAAGGATTTGCCCCAGTCACTTTCGATGCTGGACGAGTGACAAGCTGACAAGTCTGGCTCCAAACATGACACTTGGAACAACGGCACAAAATTGGATTACATCTGTGCAGGAACCCTTTCTGGGTGAGCACCAGAAGTCAGATGTGGTGATGGTGCGGACATACCAGCAGGATGGATTTTCAGTGACCGACACACACCTCATTGATCAGGAGATCCTGAAATTGCTGAGGAAAGGAGCAATACAACCCGCTAAAGATGGCTCAGCAATATCTTCCTAGTCTGGAAGATAACTGGTGATTTCCATCCAGTGATCAATCTGTGACACCTCAATGCTCATGTAGTATACTGCCACTTCAAGACGGTAGGTATACATCTTTTGTGTGAACTTCTCAGAGAAGGAGACCGGTTCACGCACCTGAACTTGAAGGACACTTACCTTTCAATTCCGGTTCATCCCTCCAGTTGTCACTTCCTGCGGTTTCTTTGGTGAGGTATTCCCTGGCAGTTCACTTGCCTCCCTTTCTACCTCAGCTTGTACCCGTGGTGCTGCTTCTGAAGCTGGTAGTCACCCAACGTTCAAGGGATTCACTGTATGATCTTGTGACGGTAGTCACCATTACCAGGAGCTTCAGACAGACTATTTATGTAAGTCCCTGGACCTTCTGCCCATAGGTGCAGTCTGTGTGTAAAATATTTAGTGTTTAGTGTTAAATGTTTTGTCTGCCCTCCTGTTATGTTATTAGGTTACTATAATTCCTGTATGTTTTCTGACATGTTTTGTATTTGTATTTTATTGAGTTTGTCAAAGCAAGGTTGATGTAATGAACATATGGGCTAGTCCCAAGTAAAATATGTATGTTAGTTACTTTTAGAATGTGGTGTCGTGTGTGGAGTTTTAGGGATTCCAGCCACAGAGATGTAGTACCTGTTGACTGGCTGCACAATCCCTCTAACCCGGGGATAAAACAAAGAGAGCTAGGCCTGAGAGCTGCAAGTGTCTTTATAAAGACAAGAGCAATCACATTGCAGGCAGAGGTGCATACTGTACCTGCCTGGGAGAAGGGCTGCAGAGGAATAGGCAGAGGGGATGATGGCTGTGGTGGGATCGCTGCCTATTTGCAAATTGCTAGGAGCTGTCCCCTGTGCTTTCCACTTTATTGTGTCGTGTTTGTGTGTTTTACCTGCTCCCCGTTCGAGAGAGCTCAATGCGAACGGGTTCCGTTCACCTCCCAAAAGGGGACCACCAAGAAACCTCATTTAGAATGTTGTCTTAGAACATTCACACCTTGTAACGAGGTGTGAAAACTACAAACTGCAAGGTAAATCTCTGCGCTTGCTGACCCTGGGAAGCGGCCCGTTCGTTAGACGAATGCCATCTAGGGGGAGCATTTGTGGATTGCTTCCCACCCATTTGGTTCTTGAACGGGGATCTCCCCAGTGCCCTTGGAGTGTTCACACCAATCAATTAGTAATTAATGAGAGCTTCCCTGGGTCTATACGAACGGCGGCCAGGAGGAGCATTCGTGTCCCGAATGGAGATGCTTCCCTTGCCTGGTTTCACCCAGAGATCCCATGAACAGAGGCAGTTACCATTCGGGGGGATACCTGAGATTGGTGGGGGCACTCTGTTGGGGACAACGGCGGTTTGGTGGGCTTTCTGTGAAGCTTTCCTGCGCTGGGACTCCCAGATACAGAGGCTCAAGGGATGAAGACCCCTGGCCACCGGAGGTGGGAAACCCTGAGGATAAGTGGCAGGAACAAGGGACAAAGGGATTGGAGTTCTGTTACTGGCAGGGGGCCCCTGGGAGGGCCCTGGGTGGGGAAACTGTGGTGGGAACAATGGATAAAGTGACTGGGGTTACGGTTCCAATATACGACCCCCGGGCGGGGGAGGATCATGGGAGGGAACATTGTCTTCATGTGTGTTCCACCTCTTGCATGGGGAAAGTATGAAGGCCCCTGTGGCCAATAAAGTGGTTGTTGTACTCCTGGAACTGTGTGTCGTCCAGTTAATGGGGAAGATGGGGCTCTTAATTATTTATAGCGGGGGGCAGGGGGGTAACCAACCGGGTTACTCAGGGTCCACTACAATACCTCCATAGAGGTACCCAGCCAGGATACAGGGAGCTCCGTTACATTTATTTGGAAAACCTTCTGTTTTTTTGTTACTGTGAATCTTATCGAATCTCTTGGGTTTGTTGTGAATCAGTCCAAATCCACTCTGGTTCCTTCCCGTTCGATCCGGCTCTTAGGATTCGAGATTAACTCGATGTTCTGCATACTAAAACTTCCTGCCTCCAAGGTCTAATCTATATGCAAGGAGATTCACAGGGTGCTCTAATGCGATTCAATCCTGCTACGCATGTTTGCAAGGATAGGGGGACTTCTGTCATTCTTCATACAGGCGATATTCCCTGGCCCACTGTACTACTAGGCATTGCAACTGATGCCAGCTGTTGAAGCATGATTCAAACCTTCAGAGAATATGCTTTCACTTCTTCAAAGTCCAATGGCAGTGAGTGTTTCATGGATGATTGGCATTACATTCCTAAAGGGACAATAAAGGCAACAAAACCACTACATTAAGAGCTAGTGGTTTTGGTGAAAAGATCCTCTATCTGGTGTCTAATCATTGTATACATTGCTGTTTGTGAGAAAACATTACAGTCAAACTGCCTCTAGTGGCTGTCAGTCAGACAATAGATCACTCAGTCAGACAGCCACTAGAAGATGTTTCCCTATAAGAAACATCTGATTGCCTGCGGATTGTAATTGCTTCCCAGGCCCAGTAGGTCCTTACTACTTCTCTATGAGATTATTTGGATTGTACCAGACATCATCCTGATGTATTAGGTCAGAAGAGGAGTGGTGGCTGCCTTATGGACATATCCTGGCACTGGATTAAAGGTGGGTAAAAAATTATTTACGTTAAAGGGGAGGGGGCATGTTTTAAGAACAATCCATTAATAAAAATTAACATATTTATAACAAGTATAGGGTTCAGAATATGTACAATGCACCGATTTTAAAATCAACCAGTAATATTTTAAACTCATAGGAATATTCCCAGTTCTCGAGAGAAGTCAGCCTTCCAGAGTGCTCTTATTTAAGTTTTTCCTGCCTTAATACATAATTTTTGCAGAGCTCTCACTGGGCTCAGATGGATTTCATTTTGTCGCTTCCATTTTTTTTAAATCAAATTTTTTTTTTTTTTTTTAGCAATTTTGCCCTTTATTATTTTCAATAGTAGTATTGGGATATAATGTATATTTGTATATGTAACAGTCACGAGGTGGGAGTGTCAGGAATATGCAGAGTCCCAAACACACAAATCTATTACTTGTCATGAGAGATGGCTGGGGTAGTATGAAGGAGATACAGAACGGTCAAATAAAGGCTGAGGTAAACAGGAAGAAAAAACAAGCCAAGGTCCGGACAGGAGAGATTAGTGAAGTCAAAGTGCAAGCCAAACTCAAACACACACTTGGTCCCCATGTTCAATAAATAACCCCAACCAGCTGGGGGAAGGAGGGCAATAGGATATCCACCCTTTATCCCTATTTATATTCCTATTTTTTTTATTTACTAGCCCCAACTTGATGTGTTGGTGCAGGTGGGTGGAAAGTAATCTGTACATCCCCCATTATTTCATTTAAAGGGCCCCCGGTCTATCCTGTTATTTTACATGCCACATCCCCATGGGATTGGGCCTCTCTAGGGAATGGGCAGCAATATTTATAGTTTTTAGTAACAGTGAGCAGCTGCTGGCTTTTATAACGATTTACCAGCAAACAAGTAGCTTGGATTTTTTAAATTAGTCCCAGATTTGAAGCATCTGGGCCTGGATTTTAACAATCCAATTCTGACATCAGCTGTCTCGCAGTATTCTGCCCGTCTGAAATCCAAACCACATTCAGGCATATTCGGAGCCTGCTCTGCAAACTCTGGACATTGTTCAATAGCATGACCAATGCCCGTATTTTGCAATCTGAAGAGCACTCAGTAGAGCATCTTATGGTTTTGCCTTATTCTGTATGGGGCCAGTCAAACTTTAGTTTTTAGCACAACCTATATCAGATTATTTTTTTTTAACTATTTACAGTGACGTAAAAAAAAAAAATCCCCATAGGAGCACGATTGGTACATTGTAAATTTTAAGTTTAATGACTGCATCTTGGTCTACTGTTTGTGGTAATTACACACAAACTGTACTGTACATTCTTGCAGTGAAAATGTTAACTTAAGACTCTAGGAAGAGGAAAGGCACATTTTTCCTGGTCGTTTGAATACTTCTTTGACCACTTATTTCATAGAAAACAATTGGTTTTGTGCCACTCAGTATACACCCACATACTCTAATTGTCACAATGCCTAATAATGAATGTTCCAAAGAGCATTAATTGTTTCCTTTCTAAGGAACATGTTCACACTCTAAGCAAAATAGACATTCTTTTACAAATGTCATATTATGGGAATTATTTCCCATAACAGAAATTGACATACTTTAATAGCTGTACTGGAATAACATCATGCATTTATTACATTGAAAAATGCATTTGTCAAGAATCACAGCTCATTCTTCTCATTTTCAGATTACTGAATGTTGTTTTATTCTTAAGAGCATAATATAAAATGTTCAATAAAGAATATATACACTGATATTTTGCTAGTTTTGTGTTGGAAAAGCAAATACGATTAAAAAAATAGTTTTCATTCAAATAAAATATGACTTTCCATTTGTCTGTTATGTCTCTCTGTTATCTATATGTCTGTCGGTCTGTGTAATGTTAGCACTACTTTACTTTTAGGATAATACACAAAGTTCCATACTGTGTACATCAATCTTTTCAGTACAGAATTATGAACTGATTTTGTGCTGAAATTATATATTTTGGTAGAAATCTTATTTTATATTATCAGCATAATTAGAGATCCACATTCTGTGAATGAAGATAGTACCTGTGTCTGCGCATGTTCCCAATAAAGATAGTTTCAGGATGGAATAGATGCATACTTAAAAACGAAACATATGCGAAACATATTTAAGCAATGGCATGGTGCTAAGCAGGATAATGCCTTTCAGCACTTGATTCTGCATTATTCAATATGCATAAATCAGTGGTGGAGTTTAGGATTGTACTGGAAAAGGTAATCCCTCACCCACTTAGAGGAACACAGTAGCCAACTCTCATTGATCCTGATTAGAGCCATCAAATGCTCTGAAAGAGGTGAAGAGATCTAACTTATTAAGGTAATCTAGCTATCCCTCTTACACCTCCTATTCTGATCGCACTAGTTAATTGTACATTCTCTGGCTGTTAAACTACAACTTCCATGTTCTCACTATACTTTATGGGATGTATTGTAAATTTTGGTAGACATGTTTGTTACCAGGTGGAGAAAAAGTGGAACCCAAAACAAAAATGTTTGAGGTCAGGTCTCGGGATCGCCTTCCTTATTGCCCCTTGCAGTCAACCCATAGACAGGATAAGGCCCCACAGGTTACACAGACACTGGTGTTGCATTTCGGAAGGAAGAGGAGGTCGGTTGACCTGGAAAAGTCTTATCTGGGTCTAAAAAATAACTGTTATAAATCCAACCAAGTTTGTTCCGAGTGGAGAATAAAATGAAACCGTACCAAGTATTGCAAACAAAAACCATTTGAGGCATGATCTGTATATTAATATTACAATATGACTCATCCATTGTAAAACCAAATATCAGTATGGAAGAGTAAGTTCTAAGCATTGACCAAAGACTTATATATCTATGTAATATGCAGAATTATCAATAATATTCATCAACCTAATTGGTTCCTATTGTCCTACATAAAAAACGCTCTTAGAGATCAAACATCAGCCCATTTACTTAATAGGGTAGATATGTAAATGAGGAAAAACCAGCTAGAACAAGACCAGAAGAGAGTTATTTTAATAATTTTTATCTGACTCTTGCCACATATTGTGATTCATCATAGCATAAATGGCAGGCCAGCTTCATGATATAGAGATTCTTGTAAGCAAATTGAGGTTTGCATTGTTAGCACAACTGCTAAGAAATAATAGAACTGCAGAAATGTATTTTTACAGGGATATTTCTGTGAAAGTTAATTTTTGTGAACCACATTTCTCATCATATTCAGCCATAATTATGGAATGTAGTAGAGATTAGCAGCATTAACATTAAAGTACACATTATATGTATTTTTGTTACCTTTCTCATAAACTAACTTTCTGAGGCTACCAAATAATAGATTCTAACAATTGTATCAATCAGTTCTAAGTAGATCATGACTATGTGAATTGTAAGTACCATTGTTCTTTTCCCATGGTTTGACTTTATGGACACAATATTGGAGGAATTATTTACCCTTCAGTTTCATTCTTATTTATATATAGGGAATCTCAGCAGTTATACATGCAATTGGTTTACGAGTTCCAGACCATGTCACCGAAAGGACTTAATGAAGAATTCAATTTTACATAATTTATCCACTAACCACTATGTATGTCTACTCATACTGATACTTTATTATCAGCAATAGCAATTTCAATTACTTACCTTTTAACCCCTTAAAGGGACACTGTAGTCACTATAAGCATTTCATCTCTTTGAATTGGTTATAGTGCCTGGAGTACCCTGGCACTGTCCCTTCATTCAGTGTTGCACCATGTTCGTACAAAAAAACAAACCCCCTTTCTTCCTAGTTATACCTTAAAGGGTTAATGGGTTCAGAAACTGTTTTTTTTCCTCTCTTTAATCTTTTCAGACACCCCATTGGAGCTCCAATATTCGAAGGACAGTATTGCCTAAGTAGTAATATACTTACCCAGTGAAAGAAGAAGAATGTTACACTGTATACCAGTTTAAATAAAAAGTATACAAACATAGCCAGGATTCAGCTGTAAGCATTTGCAACACTTACAACAATCAAGTAACATACATTCATATGAAATTGAAGTTACTTGGCCAGTCATGTAATGACAGGAATGAATAAGTAGATAACTCCCTAATTCCCATGGTATTAGGGAGCTATCTACTAAAAGGCTGAAAGACCTGAATTGGTCTTTCAGCCAAATTTACTAATACTAAGTAAAGATTACTTAGTATTAGTAAATTAAGCCCCTACGCACTATTAATAGGGGCATGTCTATTAAACAGTGAGCAGCCTGTGGCTTCTCACTGTTAAAAAAAATAAAAAAAATTGCCCCCTGGCCCCCACCCGCTGCTGCTCACCCACTGCATAAAGTAAAAAAATGGGGGAGGATAAAAATTGGGGGGACCTAATGTCCTCCCCCCTGACCCCCACCCCTGAGCGGTGGGTGGGGGCCCTAAACAAGAATAAGGGGGGGGACTTAATGTCCTCCCCCTGGCCCCCACCACTGAGCGGTGGGTGGGGGCCCTAAATACAAATTGGGGGGACCTAATGTCCTCCCCCCTGGCCCCCACCCCTGAGCGCTGGGTGGGGGCCCTAAACTAGAATAAGGGGGGGGGACCTAATGTCCTCCCCCCTGGCCTCCACCCCTGAGCGGTGGGTGGGGGACCTAAACAAGTATAAGGGGGGACCTAATGTCCTCCCCCTGGCCCTCACCCCTGAGTGTGGGGGCCCTAAATGCAAATTGGGGTGGGACCTAATGTCGTCCTCCCCCTGAGCGGTGGGTGAGGGCCCTAAACTAGAATAAGGGGGGACCTAATGTCCTCCCCCTGGCCCCCACACCTGAGCAATGGGTGGGGACCCTAAACAAGAATAAGGGGGGGACCTAATGTCCTCCCCCTGGCCCCCACCCCTAAACAGTGGGTGGAGGCCCTAAATACAAATTTAACCCCCCTTCCCCCTGGTGACTAGGGGTCCCCAAACCCCTAGTCACCCCCTACCCAAAAAATAAACACCTACCTACCCCCCTCACCCTAAAAATAAGGAGGGGGGACGACCTTTAACTAAGTACCTGTAAAAATAAAAATAAACTTACCATTTGATGTTTTCTT